AGAATCAAGGTGAAGCACACTTGGTCCTGGGATGCTGGAAAAACTCGGGGCCGCACAGCCTCTGCTCAGACGTGAGAGCCGTAGCCCTCAGGTGTGTTAAGAAGCCCTATCCCTGGGGGCTGGAGAGATAGCACAGCGGGTAGGGCGTTTGCCTTACACACGGCCAACCCGGGTTCGGTTTCCAGCATCCCATATGGTCCTCTGAGCACCGCCAGGTGTGACCCAAAAAGCAAAAAAAAAAAAAAAAGAACCCCCATCCCCGCCGCAGTCCCGGTGCCCTCCCTGTCTGTGGCAGCTCCCAGGGCTGACTTCACGGGGTTTGTGGCCTTCCCCCCCAAAGAGCAATATTTTCTTTTCTTTCCTGAACATGGGCTGGAGCGATAGCACAGTGGTAGGGCATTTGCCTTGCGCGCAGCCTGCCTGGCCGAGCAGGGTTCGATTCCTCTGCCCCTCTCGGAGAGCCCGGCAAGCTACCGAGAGTATCTCGCCCTCACGGCAAAGCCTGGCAAGCTCCCCGTGATGTATTCGATGTGCCAAACACAGTAACAAGAAGTCTCACAACGTTACTGGACCCGCTCGAGCAAATCAACGAACAACGGGAGGACAGTGGGCAGTGTCAGCTTGAACGTGCTCTTCTGGTCCTCGTGCCCATGGGAGAGGCAGTCGGGGGTGTTGATCGTTTTCTATCTGGACTCTCCCAAGAGGGTGAGTGACTTGCCCAAAGGGATGTGGATCCTAAGACATGTAGACAGCGCAGGGTGGAGAAGGGTGAGGGTCCCTCTGCTCTTCCCTGGTGGGGAAGTGGGAGAAAGCTGGCAAGTGCTGCCCTGGAGTCTTCTCACTGTGGCGGCAGGGGCCAGGCCTGAGGGCAGCTGCCCTAGCGAGGTTGTGCGGATCACGAGACATTTCTGGGGAAGGGGCATTAAACATTTTTTAAATTTACTTTTTTATTTGGAGGGGCCATGCTCAGCACTGTGTATTCATATATTTGTCAAGCAACCTGGCCTTCCTCCTGGCTCTATGCTTCAGGATCACTCAGGGGAACACATGGAGTGCCACGATCGAATCCAGACTGACCACATGTTCTTTCTGGATGCACTTTGCACTTTCTGGATGCACTTTCTGGCCCTGAAACAGAGTTGGGGTTTTGTTTTGTTTTTGCTTAAAAAAATTAAGTGCCTAGTTTATTTCCTTTTTTTTTTCTTTTTGGATCGCACCTGGCGATGCACAGGGGTTACTCCTGGTTCACGCACTCAGGTATTACTCCTGATGGTGCTTGGGGAACCGTATGCGATGCTGGGGATCGAACACGGGTCGGCCACGTGCAAGGCAAACACCCTACCTGCTGTGCTATAACTCCAGCCCCTCTATTTTCTTTATTGGAAACCCTTTTCTACCAGAGGTGATTTTCCTGAATTAAACTCTTGAAGGGATCTTATGTTTGATTGATTTTAAAAACATTTAGATGTTACTGAACAGGCTTTTTCTGACAATTCTATTCCTTAACAAATTTTTTTTTTAAATCTTGAACAGTGCCTGGCATAAAGCGGAGGGCCCCCCCCCCCACATCTGAAGCTTATGCTGTTCCATGGGATGTACCCCCAGCTCATTCTTCTTTTCAATTTTATTTTTATGAAGTTTTTTACAATAATTTATCATATTCAATATTTCAACACCAATCCCACCACCATTAACCTTTCCACCACCATTATTTTGAATTTTCCTAATACCACCCAAGCCTGCCCCAAAGATAGACACTAAATAATTTATTTTCTATTGCTTGTTATGAATAAGGTAAGGTAAGGTAAAGGCCCTCCCATTGATCATCGATTTGCTCGAGCGGGCCCAGTAACGTCTCCGTTGTTACTGTGTTTAGCATATTGAATACGTCACGGGTGGCTTGCCAGGCTCTGTCGTGCAGGCAAGATACTCTCGGTAGCTTGCCAGGCTCTCCGAGAGGGGCGGAGGAATCGAACTCGGGTCGGTCATGTTGGCTGCGTGCAAGGCAAAAGCCCTACTGCTGTGCTATTGCTCCACACTAAAAATGATCCAAAAAAGTTTTTCTTGGAAGAAAGTGTGTGAAAATTGTTGTATCTCACCTTGGAGCCATTAAGCCACTCTAAAAGAGATCACTAACATGTTGTCACAGGTTGAGCTTTGTGTGCTAATATATATATATATATATATATATATATATATATAAAATGTACTATATATAATATATATTAGCCTTCTACTTTATACCTCATTCAACATGGTGTGCTACTCTTGGTGTATTAGTGGCATAAAGTATGAGATGTCACAGCCACACTCCAGGAATTCTATAATTTTAAATAGGGTACTAGAGTTGGAGTTAATCTTTTAACTGGATGGTGACTTTGGGGTCCAGAAATATATCTGCAGTGTGTTGCTCCCTTCTGAGCTTTATTTGTCAGTCTCTGTATCACAGCCCTTAATGAGCTTATATGGTGCCAGAGGCAGTTCATGGGCGTGACTGCCAGGCACTGAAACTACAGGAAGGTGGGTGGGAGGAGGCCCATTCCTGACTCCATGTGAGCCTGGAGGTTTCAGTCACAAAACCCGCATACTTGGGTTTCAGCAGCTTCATTCTCATGCCTGAGGGGCTTTTCCCTGAGCCTTCGAAGATCAGCCATAGCATGGTGGGGATTGGGTTCTGGGGTTTGCATGGTTCATTCTTAATCTTTCTGTAGCCCCTCTCTATATGCTAGGCCCACCCCCTCGCCAAGATTTTGTTCCAAACTCAGGTGGATCAGGAAGAAAATGCTAATATAAACCAGAAAACAGACTGTCTTTGATGATCTTATTTATCTACTTCTTGAAGTTTCATATGTTTACAGCAAAACTGTCTTCTAATCTCTCACCTTACTGTTTCTCTGATTGGTCCCTTCCTTCTTTGAAAAAAGTAAAGTGTTAGAGAATTTCAAATTCTCTCTACAAGTCTGCAAATGGGGGGCCTAGGCTAGGAATGGATCAGGCCTGGGATGCTTCCTGGCAGTGATGCTTCCTCCAGAGGTCAGTAGACCCTTCCAGTAGTGGAGTTTAGGGAGCCATATTTGGTGCTGGCAATGGAACCAGGGTTTGCCACATGCAAGGTCAGAAACTAAACCCCTGTGTTATCTCTTCGGACCCTGGAATGGAAAACTGTCATGCTTGCCGGCCTACCAGTCACGACAGAGGGACGTGGAGTAAGTAAGGTTTCAAAGCAAGGTTGGAGAATAGTGCAGGCATGGATTTTAGGTACACTACTGGCTCTTTACCTTTTCTTTCTTTCTTTCTTTCTTTCTTTCTTTCTTTCTTTTTTTTTTGCTTTTTGGGTCACACCTAGCGATGTGTAAGGGTTACTCCTGGCTCATGCACTCAGGAATTACTCCTGACAGTGCTCAGGGGACCATATGGGATGCTGGGAATCGAACCTGAGTCAGCCATGTGCAAGGCAAATGCCCTCCCTGCTGTGCTGTCACTCCAGCTCCTGGCTCTTCACTTTTCTGGGTTTTGAGGTAACATGAAGGTTTTAGTCTGGTGATCAATAAGTTCAACTTCCTTGTGGGTTTTCTGGCTGGGGATGACCAGCTCCTCTATAATGGTGTTATCCAGGCAACTACCATGGTTCTCCAACGCAGAGGCCAAGCGCAACCTACCACTAAATAGAAAACCTAGCCTTTGACTACGAAAATCAGGGCTATAGACCTGTGCTGAACGCTAAGCCAGTGGTTTTCAGTGCCTATCGGGACCAGTCCTGGTCTGTTGCAAGCCACCACTCTATGTTCTTTCCTGTTGTCAAAGGAAAATCCTGCCATGGGAAGGGTGAAAAAAAGCAAAGCCTCGAGTACCAGATACCATTAGATGCTATGTTATTGGACTTGAAAACAAATTGAGGTAGGTTAGGGCTAGATCTTCATGCTACTCGACATGAGATAGACTGAGCTTTAGGCTATAGGATAATGAGAGGAGATTGACAAAAAAGAAATGGGTCTATCAGCTCAATCTCTCAATGATGTTCAGGTTGAAAATGTCCATCCAAATTGAAATGATTTTATAATTTTTTGTTTTGTTTTTGCTCAGGGCTTACTCCTGGCTCTATGCTCAGGGACCACTCCTGGCAGACACAGATGACCATATGAGGTGCCAGGGCTTGAACCTGGGTCAGCCATGTGTAAGGCAAATGCTGTACCTGCTGTACTACCATTCCAATCCCCAACGTTTTATTTTTTTTATTTTATTACCTATTATTTATACTTTTTATTTTTTTAATTTTTAAAAAATTTTTATTTAGTGAAACACCATGAGGTACAGTTGTAGACTTAGAAATTTTTTTCCCCTTTATTTTATTTTATTTTTTTTAAAGTTGTAGATTTACAATATTTGTGCTTTGGTTTCAATTATACAATGATCAGATACCCATCCCTCCACCAGTGCCCATTTTCCACCACCATGGATAATATCCCTCCCACCCCCATCCCCCCATCCCCCCTGTCTCTGTGGCAGGGCAATCCCCTGTGTTGTCCTTGGGTTTCAGTTATACAATGATCCAGTACCCATCCCTCCACCAGTGCCCATTCCCCGACGTTTTAAAGTCTCTGAATAGACTACTTCCAATTTTTTTTTTACATTTTTAAAAAAATTTTTATTAGTGAGACATCATGAGGTACAGTTGTAGACTTACAAATTTTTGTGCTTGGGTTTCAATTATACAGTGATCAAATACCCATCCCTCTACCAGTGCCCATTCCCCGACGTTTTAAAGTCTCTGAATAGACTAGTTCCAATTTAAGATGAAAGCAAACAATCAGATCCTCTGACCAAAGAAGGATGCTATTGTGTGGGTTGAATTAACATCCTTCTGTAATACCTAGAAAATGAGAAGACTGTTCTTTCTTATTTTCTGTGAGTTGGGAGTCATGGGAAAGTGTTGGGATTGTAAGTGCGATAATCATGCATGCTGCTTTTCACCTTGCTGAATTGGCTTCCCTTTTATCTAGTGACAGATACAGCGATGCCAGTGATGACAGCTTTTCAGAGCCAAGGTTCTCTGAGCTGGAAATATGCTGAGACACACAAAGTTTGGATACCAGGGCCTCCAAGGGTAAGAAGGGTCTTTCAGTTCTTGCTTATTTCACAGACAAGCTGTAATTTTGGTGTAAAGGGGGCCTTTGCTTTCTCTCAGGCTTCTCCTTCCTTCCCTCTGTTGCATTCATGCACACATACGCTCATGGAAACACACACACGCATTCTCTGTCTCTGTCTCTGTCTCTGTCTTTGTCTCTGTCTTTGTCTCTCTCTCTCTCTCTCTCTCTCTTACCCACACATACACACACCCCTACTTGGCTTTTTAGAGAAATAAAACATACTGAGACCAGGAGTAAACATATATGTGCACCTATGAATATATACTAGGGTTGCAGGGCTTACATTAGGGTAATTGTTTAAGTCAGATGTGAGCAAAACTTTGTCCGCAGCTTATAAATATTTTTGACTCTGTGGACCCTGAAGTTCCTTATTGACTTATGCTGCCCTTTTAGAGGGGAAAGCAGTCACATGCAATATGAATGGGTATGGCTGTGTCCCAATAAAGCTTTATTTATTTATTTATTTAGGCTTTTTGGGTCACACCCGGCGATGCTCCGGGGTTACTCCTGGTTCTGTACTCAGGAATCACTCCTGGCAGTGCTCGGGGGACAAGATGGGATGCTGGGAATCGAACCCATATGGGTTGGCTGCTTGCAAGTCTTTGCTGAGGCTGGCTTGGCTCCTGGACCCAGCATCATGTCCTCGTTAGGCTTTATTAGAGAGGAAAATGGCCTGAGTAGTTTTCTGAAATTCAGGCTTAGAAGCAGTGTTGCTTGCAAGAACTTACTCCTGGGAGTCTAGCAGGCACAGAGTCTTTGGCTGTGCCTCTTTGGAAGCTGGTATCTTTGGGATCCTATGCAGAGTTACTGGCTCCCATGTAAGAGCCTCTCCCTAGCTTAGAAACTGGTTGGCCTTGGTTTAGGTTCATCCCAAGCATGGAGACTTTCAGAAATGATCCCAAATGGGGTAGCAACCAAGGAGTATTTTCAAGATTTAGGGCTGGAGAGATAGTACAGCAGGTAGGGCGTTTGCCTTGCACGCGGCTGACCGGGGTTCGATTCCTCCACCCCTCTCAGAGAGCCTGGCAAGCTACCAAGAGTATTCCGCCCACACTGCAAAGCCTGGCAAGCTCCCTGTGATGTATTCGATATACCAAAAACAGTAACAACAAGTCTCACAATGGAGACGTTACTGGTGCCCGCTCAAGCAAATCTATGAACAATGGGAGGACAGCGCTACAGCACATGGTGCTTTCTGATGTTGCTAATATTATCTAAATTAATATTTTTTCACACTTTCAATGCATTTAATCACGTTAATATCTATAAATAGAGTGCAGTCAACAGTTACTTTAACAGTGCATGCTAATTATTAGGAGGATCTATTGCTGTAAATGGTGCTCTGCCAATTTTGCTATGTCTGGGGAAAGTATTGGGGATACAGTTCATTTTTTTCCTTAATCAATTAATGTTTTTTTAAATGTCTTATTTTTCCTTTCTAGGCTTGGAAGTAAGGGAAACCCAGATGAAGGAACTCTGAAGAAATCACTACACTTCTTAAGAATAATTTTGTTCTCCACCCCAAATGAGATGTTAAGATCTGGGAGGGAGTATGATGCCTATCTTCCATAAACCAGAACCAAAGGCCTTCTTTCCCCTTTCCCCTCTAGAAGGTGGCCTTTATTTCCCCCACATTCCTGTAACCAAGTAAACTTTGCCCAAACCTTTGCTGGGAAGAGTGTGTGCTGTTTTGTCTGCCCTATCATGGTGCCCAGCTCGCGACAAGTTGTGCTAGATGAGGGCAGAGTACATGTGATGACAACAACCCAAAGAAACCAAACCCATGGACTCTACTTCCTGTACGTTTTTGCTGTTGTCATGGTTGTTTCGATGACGGAAGTCCCACATTTTGGTTGCAGGGCTCACTGGGGATTGCATAGTTCAGTGATATTCTTACACACTTGGTTGTGGTGCACTGGAGATGTGTAGCTCACTCCAGGGGAGGGGAAGGGTGTTACTGCCCCATTCTTGGATTCACCCTTGCAAGGCAGGCTGGTCTGATATATGTGCCCACTAAGCCTTCCCTAGGATGGCAAGTTTGAAGTTAATGGGCCTCATTCTGTTACCTGGAACTCAACCACCTGGATCATTATTTGTGTTTAGCCCAAATGGACTTCAATTTCTAACTCAGTTTCCTTCCGGTTAAAAACAAAATTAAGAGGCCAGAGTACAGCAGGCTGTTTGCTTTGCATTGTAGCTGACCCAGGTTCGAACCCCAGCACTCCATATGGTCCCCTGAGCCAACCAGGAATGATCCCTGAGTGTAGAGCCAAGAGTAAGCCCTGAGCGCTGTTGGGTGTAGCCCCAAAGCCAGAAACCACCTCTTGCCCCCATCAAAAAAAAAAAAATCCCAAAACCTAAAACAAAATTCAGCAGGTTCGAGAGAGGTGTCAAGTAAGGCCCTCACCTCAGGGCCAGATTTTAAGGGCTCACAAAAGACCCAATAATAAGATCAGTTACATATTTTGCTTGAATTAACAGGACAAAGAATGTGTTGCCTTAAGGTGAACAGGGCCCAGAAAAGAGAGAGAGAGAGAGAGAGAGAGAGAGAGAGAGAGAGGAGAAAGAGAGTACAGCGGTCAGGGCGCATGCATGACGTGGCTGATCGGGGTTCAATTGCTGGCACTATATATGGTCCCCTGAGTACTTGCCAGGAGTTGACCCCTGGGAACAGAGCCAGGAGTAAGCCCTGAGCACCAGGGGGTGTGGCCCCAAACCAAAACAAAGTGCTTAATTTTAGGTGGCCAGAGAGAGAGAGAGAGAAGAGTGGTTAGAGCATATGCCTTGGATGTAGCCTGCCCTGCTTTGATCGCTGGTATCACATGGTCTCAGGTGTAGCCGGGGCTCCTGAGCAGTGCCGAGTGTGGCCTGGAAATCCCTGAACAGTGCCAGGGAGGCCCAGGAAGTCCCTGCAGGGCATTCAGTGGTTTCAATTATGTTACTGCCACCTTTACCTACTTCCAAAGTATTTCCGTCACCCCAAAACAAATATCCATTCCCATTAGCATTAGTGTTTACTCCCATTCCTCCCTTCCCCCCCCCCCCCCCGCCCCAAGAACTGCTAATCTACGGTGTGTTTTCATAATCAGGGTATTTCACACTAGTGGACACATGACATGTTTCAGCAAGTTTCATCCTTGTCGCTGGAGTGAGACTTCTTTTCGATGGATGGATAATATTCTGCTCTAGGGATCTACCATAGTTTGCTTATCTATCTGTGGATACACATCTGCATTATTTACACCCTTTGATGGGCTGGAGCTATAGCACAGCGGGTAGGGCATTCGCCTTGCATGCGGACAACCTGGGTTCGATTCTTCCGTCCCTCTTGGTGAGCCTGGCAAGCTACTGTGAGTATTCCGCCTGCACGGCAGAGCCTGGCAAGCTACTCGTGGCATATTCGATATGCCAAAAACAGTAACAAGTCTCACAATGGAGATGTTACTGGTGCCCACTTGAGCAAATCGATGAACAATTAGAGGACAGTGACACCCTTTTACTGCTCGTGTGCATATGAATGTGCTAATAATTTGTTTTTAATTTGAGCAGGGATAGATCCAGGAATGGAATTGCTTGGTCAGAAATTCTGTTAAACGTTTTCTTTTCTCCCTTCCTCTCTTTTGTTGTGATAAGTTACGGCCATCCCTGTGATTGTGGTGTGGGCACACCTAGATACAGTTAGACGAGAGATGGCACCCTGCCTGCTGCTGCAGTCGCCTTGCACATGGGGGCAGTGCTTGGGATGGAAATTTGATCTCATGACTGCAAAGCAGGTGTTCTCTCACAGCTATCCAGGGACCCCGTTGATTGTAGCTTTCAGGGAAAAAAAAACTGATGTTTTTCTCTGATACACGGTAATATTTTAATGTGCTCTTTTGGGGAATTTGTTTTGTGTGTGTGTTTTTGAGTCACAGCCAGTGGTGCTCAGGACTTATTCCTGGTGGTGCTTGGGGGACCTTGTGGGATGCCCGGTGTGGAACCCAGTTTGGCTGCGTGCAAGGCAAGTGTCCTTTCCTCTGTACTGTCACTCTGGCCCCTATAAGTGCTATTTTAAAATATGAAAATTGGGGGCTGGAGCAATAGCACAGTGGGTAGAGCATTTGCCTTGCATGCGGTCAACCCGGGTTCGATTCCCAGCATCTCATATGGTCCCCTGAGCACTGCCAGGGGTAATCCCTGAGTGCAGAGTCAGGAGTAACCCCTTTGCATCATCAGGTGTGACCCCCCCAAAAAAGTAAAATATGAAAATAAATTTTTAAAAAATTTTAACCAACCTTTGTTTGTGTTTTCGGCCACACTCAGCTGAGCTCAGGGCTTACTCCTGTCAGGGCTTGGGGAACTATACAGGGTGCCAAGGATCAAACCTGAAAGTGCCCTACTCATGGTACTTTCTCTCTGGTCCCTCCAGCCCATTTTCAACTTAAAAAAATTGATATTATGGGACCCAGCTGAAATCTACAACATTGCACTTTCAAAATGGATCTATTGCTTGATAAATTTTCAAACACCCACCACCCCATTCCCTGTCTCCCCTCCCATTTGGTTTCCTATGGCTACAAACATTTCCTATAACCCATCCCTCTTTAAAGTAAAAATGTTGAGATGGATAATGTAGTTTCCTTGATGGAAACCCTTTGCTTGTTGTAGGTTTGGAAGGGCTGGCAAACATTTTCTGTAAAAGAAATGGAAATGTTTTAGGACATATTGACCAAATAGTCTGTGTTGCAAGAACTCAAGTTTGTTGTAGGTCTTACATAAACAAATGTGGAGAACCTGGCAGGCTACTGAAAGTATCCTGCCCGCACGGCAGAGTCTGGCAAACTCCCCGTGGCGTATTCAATATGCCAAAAACCAGTAACAATGACAGGTCTCATTCTCCTGACCCTGAAAGAGCCTCGAATGTGGCACTTTCTAAAATCTCAGGGCTAGGACAAAGGAGACATTACTGGTGCCTGCTTGAGGAAATCGATGAACAACAGGATGACAGTGATACCGTTTCAGTAAAACTTTATTTAGAAACAAGGTAGGAGGAGACTCCAAGTCCAAGATAGGCTACCATGAACAACTTCTCAGATTTTTCCAAAACCTGCTGAGTCTGGAACTCGAGATGGGACAAGGAACCCACTTTCAGAGGACTCATTTGGCTGATTTGGGTGCCACTCCGTGGTGAAACTGGTCTGTAGCTATTTCTCAACCTTGGCTACACAGAAGAACTGGACCCATCCACCCCACTGACATAAGATTCTAAGGTTGGGACTCAGGCTCAGTTACCTATAAGGTTCCCTTCATTGTGATGTGCACTCCAGCTCCTGTCACCAAAACTTATAGGACTACTAGAGTCTCTTTTCTCCTCAAAGCATCTTTTTTAGCAGAAATAAACAGAGCTCAAACATTCCACTCTTACACTTTTTTTTACCACCAAACAAAACCTACATACCAAGGAACCCCAAACTAAAAACAGGAAAGAACTTATCAAACTATACATGGTAGCATTAAATCACGAACAGTGTGATTAACTATTAACGGACGACAAAGTTGCGAAACACATTACTTAAAACCTGAAAACAAGCAAAACTGGCCAAATCAATGTAACTGGACGGAGGGAACTTGCTGAAAGGCGTTGGGAGCATAGCGCCCCTAGGGCCTCTGGTTGCTCAGGCTGGAGATGACCATAATGTGGGCCACGACGATACTGGCAGGTGTACCAGTGATCCTAACCAGCCTCAGAGAACTGCCTTCCATCAGCGGGAAGATCTTGACCCGGGCACCGGATTTGCGGCGGATCTCGCTAATATTGGCTCCCTGGAGGCCGATGACGCCGCCAATAAAATCGTTGGGGATCATGAGCTCGTGGATGATCTCCATCGGTGGTTCCCTGACACTCCCGCTGGATCCGGCCGGCTGCCCCACCACGGGCCAGCTGAAGGGAAGCATGGCAGGTAGCACGCAGCTGGAACTCGGCTGTGGCGGCGGTGGCGGGGGCTGCCCCAGCAGGTAGGGCACAGGGTGCGGGTAGCCCACGGCCTGGGGGTTGCTCCCGGCGTAGGGGTAAGGATTGCCCCCAGCATAATGGATGCCTCTGGTGGAGGGGTCACCCCCGACATAGGAGATGCCCCCGGCATAGGGGATGCCTCCAGCATAGGGGTCACCCCTGGAATAGGCGTTGCCCACGGCATAGGGATCACCCCTGGCGTAGGGGTCGCCCCCGGCGTAGGGGTCGCCCCTAGCGTAGGCGTCGCCCCCAGCGTAGGCGTCGCCCCTGGCGTAGGGGTCGCCCCCGGTATGGGGGTGGCCCGTGGCACCGGGGTCATCCACGGTGTAGGAGTTGCCCCCGGAGCAGGAGTAGCCCCTGGCATAGAGGCGGCCCCCCGTGTAGGTAGAGCCTTCAGCGACCTGGCTGTGGTCATCCGCAGGGAGAGCCGGGCCCAGTGTGGGCTGGTTGGCAAGGGCTGGGCCTCGCTCCTGCAGGGTCTCGATGAGCGTCTCCAGCAGCTTCTGGCAGATCAGCTTCATGCACTCGCTCACGCAGTGTGGCCAGCCCGTCATGGACAGCTCGCTGTCACCGGGCGGCATGCTGCCGGACACGTGCACCTGGGTCCTGGTGCGAGCGCAGATATCCCTGACTCTGGAGCCTCCCTCTCCAAGCAGCAAGATGCAGTGTGCGGCCGGCACCCTCAGCAGCAGGGTGACGATGGGCTGCGGGCCCTCGGTGAGCGACAGTGTGCTGCAGATGTCGTCATAGATCTTATCGATGACCACGATCAAGGCCTTGAAGATGACGTCGCTGCTACCGCTCAGCGTGAGGTTGCGCTCGTACCAGTTGTCACTGGACATAGTGACCTGAGCTCCGCTCACTACCTGGAGGTGCCTTGCAAACTCCCTCTCCTGGCCCACGTGTCTCCAGCTGCCTGGGCCGTGCACGGACAGCCGGACGGTGAGGTTGGCCTGGACTCCGGTTGCCATTCCTCGCAGGCTACTGTCCATGGTGACCGGCTCAGCGTTCACCAGAGTCTCGCATGCGCAGTTGCACAGGCGGGTAGCGAAGGGCGTTGCGGTCCAACCGCCAACTACGGGAGCCCAGGAGAGTGAGGCCCAGGGGAAGTGGCGGTGTGGGCAGTCGCAGGAGCTGAACAGTCACAGACTGGTGGAGTTGTCGAGCGTCACAGGCTCGGGTCCAGGCTCGCTCAGGAACGTAGCACGTCTCACCAGTCGTGGTACAGCAGGTACGAACACTGGCGTCGTCCTAGCAGGCACACATCACAGATACTGACAGACGTCGTATCATAGCGGCATGTGTGCGCAGGCGCGGGTAACGTCCTAGCCCAACGTGCGTTCTCCCAGCAAACGTGCGTTAGAGGTGTGCGTCACAAGTGCGCGACGCAGATGTGGACATCGTCCTAGAAGGCATACGTCACAGGCGTGGACTCACGTGGTGTCATGACGGCCTTGCGTCGTGGGCGTAACCGTACGTGGTGTCGTAGCGGCCGTGCGTTGTGGGCGTAGCTGTACGTGGTGTCGTAGCGGCCGTGCATCGCGGGCGTAGCTGCACGTGGTGTCATGGCGGTCATGTGTCACTGTGTAGACGTCCGTGGTGTCGTGGCGGCCGTGCGCTGCGGGCACAGATGTTAAGTGGTACCCATCTTGGGAGCTGAGGGCGCCGAGTGGGCCAGGAGGCGTTAGCATCCTTGCGCTGCGGGCACAGATGTTAAGTGGTACCCATCTTGGGAGCTGAGGGCGCCGAGTGGGCCAGGAGGCGTTAGCATCCTTGAGCTGCAACCTCGCCGCAACATAAGATTTTAAAGTCAACGCTTGTGCTGAGTGAAGTTAGAGGGAGAGGGACAGACCCAATGCAGCAAGGAATAACAAAGGTTCAAAGGCGGTAGGAATGCGAGAGCAGGAGGAGAACTGGCGTTCTATAGGAAACGAGCTCCTGGGATAGAACAGGGATAGGAACGCTATGACAGTGGTGGTGGGAATTGCCACTCTGGAGAAGGGGGGGGGTACTGAAAGGTTGTAAAGCGTCCTTGAAGGTATGTGATGAATAGTCCTGTAAACCACAGTGCCTAGATGGGGGGAAATAGGGGGTCTGCCATGGACGCAGGCTGGGTTGTGGGAGGGAAACTGGGGACACTGGTGAAGGGACTGGTGTTGGAACCTTGTATGCGTGCAACTCAGTCATGAATAACTGTGATTCACGGTGCCTCTATTAAAAAGAAAGAAAGGTAAAGGACATCAAGGCACCCTCGAACCCTTCAACTCCCCCTCCCGCATTCTCCTGTGGAGTGTGTTTGAGATGGCTTGGTGATTGCTCAATTTTGAGCTTTTCACTACTAATTGACACATTTTAGCTATTCAGTTCTTTCTTTTCTTTTCTTTCTTTTCTTTTCTTTCTTTCTTGTGATTGTCTTTGGCATTAGTGTTACACAGCTTACTTTAGTTAAGATGATGCAGAAATTTATTCTACCCATGCAGATTGGAATGACTAATTTTGGTAAGCTACAACAACAAATTAAAGTGCTTCAGGGGCTCCACTTGTGAAAATTAGAGCTTGAGGAGCAGGAGAGACTGCTAATGAAAGGCCCACAAGGTAGGTTAAAAGCTGCAGTAGGCAGCTTTCATGGAGGGAGCAAGCAGAAAGAGGACACGTTTAACATCACTGTCCTCCCGCTCATAGATTTGCTCGAGCGGGCACCAGTAATGTCTCGATTGTGAGACTTGTTGTTGTGTTTGGCATATCGAATACGCCACGGGGAGCTTGCCAGGCTCTGCCGTGTGGGCGGGATACTCTAGGTAGCTTGCCCGTCTCTACCAGAGGGATGGAGGAATCAAATCCGGGTCGGCCACGTGCAAGGTAAACGCCCTACTGGCAGGATACAGTGCACGAAGTCCCAGCGAAGGGACACAGGGGACAGGGTCCAGCTGCAGTTTTAGACTAGGAACACTGTCTAGGGAACCCTGGGGCGAGCAGACAGTAGGGGACAGCATTCAGGGTGTCATCCCCTGGACCAGGCATGGAGGGACAGATGAGTTACATCAAACACAGGAAAAAGGAGATGCAGGGGGTGGAGCTATAGCACAGCGGGTAGGGTGTTTGCCTTGCACGCAGCAGACCCGGGTTCGATTCCCAGCATCCCATATGGTCCCCCGAGCACCGCCAGGAGTAATTCCTGAGTGCATGAGACAGGAGTAACCGCTGTGCATTGCTGGGTGTGACCCAAAAACAGAGAAAAAAAAGAATACAGGCCGTCCAGTTTGCAGTGGAGACCCACACCAGCCTGCCTGCGCAGGGAGGCACACACACAGGGCTGGCTGGCCCCAGTGGGCAGAAGGGGCTGCTCTGTTCCACGAGCTCCGGCAGCCGGCCGGGTGCCAGCAGCACCTTTTACTTCAACAGCACCTTCAACAGCACCTTGTACTTCAACAGCACCTTCACAAAGGGGTAGTGTGGTTTAAATGGAAGTTTTCCATTTTAATGATTATAGTTTCTAAAAGTCACTTATAACTTAAGTGCTTTCATTGCCAGCTAATGATGCATGTAAATAGTGCTGGAAGGAAGGGCACTTAAGAAACAATAAACCAGCCTCTTCTGTTGTTGCTAAAGGAGATTTTTCTCTTTGGGGACAGCCCTTGAAGTTGGAATCCTGGGAGGCACAAAGGCAGCAGTAGCCCAGCTGCTTAGGATGGTGGACCCGGGAAAGGGGAAAATGAAGTGTGCGTTGGGGGAAGCAGCCCGCCTTTGGGGAAAGACTCGCACTAAGTCTCTAGGAAAACAAGCGTTCTGTTAGAATTGCGATCTGCTCAGTGCGGTCTGAGCCTGGTAAGAATCTGGATGGGAGAAACATGCTGAAAGGAGACTATAGACCAAACATGATTGTCAGCCATTGCCTCTTTTGCAAACCACAACACCCAATAAAAGAGAGATAGAACAAAAGGGAATGCCCTGCCACAGAGGCAGGGTGGGATGGGGGGGGATGGGGGGTGGGAGGGATACTGGGATCATTGGGGGCGGAGAATGGGCACTGGTGGAGGGATGGGTATTTGATCATTGTATAATTGAAACCCAAGCACAAAAATGTGTAAGTCTACAACTGTACCTCATGATGTCTCACTAATAAAAAAAATATGTAAAAAAAATTTTTAAAAAAAGAATCTGGATAAAGGGTCTTGTGAAATAATGAGTGAGGAATCTGCTGAAGTAATGGGAAAGCTGGAGCTAGGGATGGTTTCCTGAGCGCTGCTGGTAGATGTTTCAGTGAATTTGTAACTGTGGCCACACAGGTAAGCCTGGCTAAGGAGAAACTGCTTCAGGGATGTGCTCTACCACCCGGGAAACAGTGGGGTGAATGGTGGCGTTCCCCGGCAGTGTAAACCCTCTGGCAGTCAGGCGATACTTTCACTCGATTGCTATTTGGATTGAGCAGAAGTGAAAGGGACTCATTGTTTTCTATTTTCTCTGTATTGGGGCTCTGGGGGAAAATCTCCCACTCCTGGGCTGGAGCGATAGCACAGCGGGGAGGGCGTTTGCTTTGCACGAGGCCGACCCGGGTTCGATTCCCAGCATCCCATATGGTCCCCCAAGCACTGCCAGGAGTAATTCCTGAGTGCAGAGCCAGGAGTAACCCCTATGCATGGCCAGGTATGACCCAAAAAGAAGAAAAAAAATCTGCCGCTCCTTGGCATTCTTTCTGGCCTGGACCAGTCAACAGAACAGTATCAAGCTAGCAGAGGACAAATCAGTTTAGTAGTATAACTATAGAAAAATTTGCATGGTTGTAAATTTCATTTACTTACTTACTTGGAGGCCTCCCAAATAATGCTCCGGGGCCTGAGGACCCCACCAGCAATTCTCAGCAAAGTGAGCAGGTGGTTCAATGTAACGGCAGAGGATGTGCTGGTGCTTAGGTCCTGTGGTACTAGACATTACCTAGGCCACCCCTGTGATGCTCTGGGTACCACCCGGGTAATGGCTGAGGCCGTTCACTGGCTTTCGGGCTGACTGTGGCAGTTCTTAGGAGAACCATGACATGTTGAGTCAAAGCCATGTTGGTTGCATGCTAGGCATGTACCATAACTGCTGCACCAACTCCCTGATCCTGTGGTGATAAATTTTTAAAGTAAAATTAAGCAGACCTGAAATATTTTTTTAAAGTTTTATGTGTATATTTTTTTAATTGAATCACCGTGACCGTTACAAAGTTATTCATGATTGGCTTTTAAGTCACATAATGTCCCCACACCCTTTCCTTCACCAGTGTACATTTCCCGCCACCAACAGTCCCCAGTTACCCTCCCCCTCCGTCCCCGAGCCTGCCTCAATGGCAGACACTTTTCTTCCTGTCTTTTTGCTTGTAGGCACTGTGGTTTGCAATACTGATACTGAAAGGTTATCAGATGTATCAGTTTCCCTCCTTTCAGGACTCAGTTCTTATCTAGAGTGATCGTTTCCAACTATCCTTGTCATAGTGGCCTCTTCTCTGTCTTAACTGCGCTTCCCCACAACTTTTGGCAAGTTTTAGACCTCAAATCTTTAAGCTGTGTTGAGAGACCTGGGATTACCAAAGATGGGGGTAGGGGGATAGGGGAGTGGGTGGGGTGGGGTGGGAGGGAGTTTAACTTCACCTGCTGAGGTGGGGATGACCTTATCTTTACTCTGAGCAGAAAGATGAGTTTTTTTTATTTATTTATTTTAATTTTTATTAGTGAAACACCATGAGGTACAGGTGTAGACTTACAAATTTTTGTGCTTGGGTTTCAGTTATACAATGATCAAGTACCCATCCCTTCACCAGTGCCCATTTCCCACCACCACGGGTCCCAGTATCCCTCCCAGCCCCCCATCCTCCCCATCCCACCCTGCCTCTGTGGCAGGGCATTCCCTTTTGTTCACTCTCTCCTTTTGGGTGTTGTGGTTTACAAAAGAGGTCTTGAGTGGCAATCAAGTTTGGGCTATAGTCTACTTTCAGCATGCATCTCCCATCCTGGGA